AGTAGGCTTCAAGAAGGCAGCAGCGTCTTAAGGACTGGGGCCCCAATCCTCAAATATGGACGACCTGCTTTCTTGCCTATCTGGCCGTTGTAGGATATCTCTTCGGCGAAAAACACCCTAAAGCAGTTCCCAATCTACTCATGTTTATGAGGCAGATCCTGGACTTCGCTCAGACTTATCAGTGGTCGGAAGCAGTCCTCCGACTTGCTCTTAATTTCCACCAATACATGATGGATAAAGGAGAGTTATCGACGGACAACTACCTGGTCACAGGCCCATTTCGCGAGAAATACCTCCGCCACAATCTCACCCTGTCTGCAAAGACACCAACAAACCCTCCAACCCGGCCTCGTCAAGCTAGGAATACCAGATCTTCGAATAATGAGACAGAAGTTTGCGATAAGTTCAATACGACAGGGTGCTCCTGGGAAGGCTGTAAGAGACGTCATGAGTGCACGGCATGTGGGCTAAGCGAGCATGGCGCCTCCTCCTGCCGCAAGAAGAAATAGCAAGTGACAGCCCTTGGGAACTGCACTAGTGACACCGACAACGTTGTTCTCAATCCCCTATCCCTAAGCCTCATACCACAGGGGCAACCGCCCAGACCAAACACTGCTGTTCAATACCCCGTTTTCAACCCAGAGCTCCCAAGGCTACAGTCCTCTCCGTCGCCACTGCATGCGAAAGACTGGAGCAATCTTCTACGCTACTATCCGGGCGATCTCGGGTCCACTATCGCTGGAATTCTGACCTACGGTGTTCAGGTCGGCTATAGGGGCAAGAAGCAGTTTCGCTATTCCTCCAACCATCACATACATGAACCCGGCATGATCACGGCCAAGCTAGCAGAGGATCTCAGCCTCGGTCGTGTTAGACTAGCCTCTAGGCCCTCCTTCGTTTCACCGCTTGGGTTAGTCCCTAAGCACGACGGGGGTTGGCGCCGCATCCATGATCTATCCTGGCCCCCTGGACAGGGCCTTAACCAGGGCGTACCGGACTCCTGGTCAGCTATCGAATACATGACAATCGACGACATTTACGAGCAGGCCATACAAGCTGGCCCAGGTTGCACAATAATCAAGAGGGACATCAAGGACGCCTTCCGAATCGTCCCCATTGCCGAGGATAACCAGCACCTCCTTGCCTTCCAGTGGACCGATTCCACTTATGTCGAATGCTGCCTCCCCTTTGGCGTCGCAACGGCCCCGTTTCTCTTCAACCTCTTCGCCGAGGCACTCCATTGGATACTCCAATGCCTCCTCCCTGCATTCCATATCAATCATTACCTAGATGACTTCATCACAATTACTCAGTCTCCCTCAGTGTCCGACCCCACAGGTCTTTTTGATGAGGTTTATAACAGAGTCACCGACTATCTACGTATTCCTCGCAATACAAAAAAGAACCAGCAAGGGACCTGTGTAACAGTCCTAGGTATCCAGATCGCTTTATTGCAATGGAAGCTCGTCTGCCACCAGGAAAGTTGTGCCGCGCCACATTGGATGCCGCAGCTGCCTTGAACGCAGCGAGTCTCTCCCTCAAGCAAGCAGAGCGCCTCACAGGCTTATTAGCCTTTTGTTCAAGAGTCGTCCGACTTGGAAGAACAAGACTACAGTCACTATACACCTTCCAAGCCGCTTTCCCACATGGGAGTAGTGCGCGCCGCCGTATCCCTTACGAGGTACGTGACGATTTGGAATGGTGGAAGGACTCCTTGTCTCTCTCCAACGGCGTACTCCTAGTTGACCCTTGCCGCCGCCCCATCACGCATCTCTACACAGATGCCTCTAATTTAGGCCAGGGGCTCTTCTTCTTCTCATCCAAGTCTACATTAGACTGCTGGCTGGCCCATTGTCACCAGCTTCATCCAAGCAATGCTGCCACATTGGCCCTTGCTGAAGACGCACATGCGCACATCAATACCAACGAAGTAGACGCTATTCTACAAGGCTTCCTACTCTTCAGCCACCATTGGCTCCATCATACTCTCGTTATCCACACGGATAGCTCCACAGCGCACACGGGACTCAAGAAAGGCTTTCTTCATGGTCCGCCTAACGCACCTCTGAAGAGCCTGCTTATCCTAGCGGCGGCGAGAGACATCCACATCGTGCCACACTGGCTCCCCTCCGGGGAAAATACATTAGCAGACGCGCTCTCACGTAACAATCTTGAAGACATTGCTAACATTTGTCCCCATTGGCAGGACCTCTCGGTATTGAACCGCCCGCGTGGTTCTCTTCACGAGCTCCTCAGCTCAATACCGGCCACCTAAAACTGCTCTGGAACGGACTCAGCGCCAACACCCGTTCCGTTTACCTCTCCGTTCAGCGCAGCTACGAAAAGCACTGCGCGCTACAAAATTTCTCCGCATGGCCAGTGTCAAGACATTCATTAACCTCATGGCTAAGCTCACGACTCCTTGGTAACGCCAGCCAAAAGGCCGTCAAGCCTGACACCGCACTCGCCGACCTAGCCGCTCTCCGAGCCTACCATATCGATAATTTCCTTGACGATAAACTCTTCGATAACAAGCATTTTCGACGTCTCATAGACGGTGCGAGAAGACTCAACCCCATCACAAAAGTACGGGTCAGAAAACCTATTTCGCGTGACACTATTACGAAACTATCCGCGGGCCTCGCCGCACTCCCGTCACGGCCCTTGGAGATGTCTGCGAACCTTCTAGACGACTTGAACTTCGCAACCGCGTGCCGGGTAGCATTTGCTGGATTCCTCCGCCTCGGCGAATTCACCTACAAGACTGAAGACCTTAGCACACATTCTATCTTCTCAGCCACAAAGTTAACTCGCTCCGACGTCAGATTCTCGTCCTCGTTAGACCACGCACAACTCACACTCAAGCGCAGTAAGACGGACCGCCGCCACGAAGGGGTGCAAATTGTTCTTGCAAAGACGGGAGACGGCGCTTGCCCTGTTGATGCCCTTCAGAAGCTGCTACTCCTCGATCCTAGAGGGCCCGACGCCCCATTGTTCTCCTTCCACAGAAGACCATTCAGTCGCAACAACTCCCTCTCGACCTTATCTACTAAGCTAAGAGCGCTTGGACTACGGACAGAGGGCTACTCGGGTCACAGTTTTCGGAAGGGCGCAGCTCAGCGTGCGCACGATAGTGGGATACTCGACGACCAGATTCAGATGCTAGGGAGATGGACCTCAGAGTCTTTCAGGGTGTATTTTACGGCGAACGCGTCAGTTTTGTACAAGCTCAATCACCAGTTCCAGACAGGCTCGCCGGCCTCGCTGTCTCTGCTGCTTCCACCACCGTCCCCTCCACCATCCTAGTTTGGCCGGGTCATTTGGGCCCTATCTGACGCTACGGTCTACGACCGCAGCGACAGGTGACCCGTTATGGCCAAACTACACTCTTCTTGCTCCTCTTGACTGCGTGAGGTCACCAATAAAGTAAAATCAAAATTCGGCGGTGGAGGCAAAGAGGTCTGGTTGACAGTCAGTCGTGGGTCTCAAAGCCTCATAGATTGTGATTATTACCGGAGGGGTCATCTGCACAAACGGCTTTGTCGTTTGAGAGGTTGACAAGCTTCGACCTCGTTCCATAATATCTTCAGCAGCTGTAGGGCCATTTGTTTGGGAAAGACTCCCCCACCGTAGCCGCAACAATCTTTGGTAGTATCTCGTAAGGCGGATTTTGATCTTGCTTGAAACCCTTCTTCTTCAAGTGCTGAATATGTTCATCATCTGCACACCCTACGACGTGGTGCATAGCCTCAGCTGTACTCGTTCCGTGTTGCAAAGCCTGTTCGGTTGGCGGTTTTTGTCCTTTCCATGTAGTTTGGTAATCACCAAATTCACCCTCTTGCACTTGCTTTTGCTGATTTGGCCGTAGCTCTGAGAGAGCAGGTCTCCGGTCTGACCCTTTCATTGCATAAACACACAATTTACCACGCCCGACACAAGCTTGACAATGGGGAACTTCACGATTGCATCGAATTTTCAAACTGCGGCATGATTGGCAGGAATGAAGAGGCATTGTGGTTGGACTGGTCAATATTGCAAGCTACCACCGTTGTATTCCAACTGTTTAAGCAAGACGTGTGATAGCTATAGGACGCGTGGACATAACAATTGGTGATAGACTGTCACTCCCGATGCACTGCAATAGGATATGTCAAACACTCTTCTCAGCAGGCGCAGAAGCGGAAGGCGTATTGCTGAAAGGCGGTTTCAGCTCAGGGCGAGTGGTACTGCGACACTGAAGAATCCAGTATGTAGGGGCGATTGTTGTAGCACAACACGTTCAAGGTAAACTGAAGCTATACGGGTAGAAGTCAAAGAGTCCATAGAAGATGGAAACCGGAACTTATAGTGTCTGTTGGTTTCAAAGACTGTATACAGTAACTCAAGATATGTAGCCAGGTTTGATGATTACAGTCCGCTGATTCTGTCAAGGATATAGATGAAGCATGCGGAACGGATGGAGATATGATCCGCACGGGACCCACATAGTGCACATGGGTTCCCCTGAACGCGAGGAAGCTACCTTTCTTTTGCTTCCTCGCGCTACGTCTTGTATCTAGAGTCAACTATAGTTATTCCTAATATCGATTGTTCATCTTGAAACACTATCCACCTCTATGTATACGTGAGACCCTCACACTCCCAGATCTTGCCAATGTATTTCCAGAGCCAGTTCACATCCCTAGGGCATCTTGGATTCCGGACAGTAGCTTTTACAGAGGAACTTTTTGCCGGAAACTCCGTGGAAAATCTACGTACGCTTCGAATCTTCAGGTGATCAGTGCCGACCTCACGCCCGTCAACGCCTTAGGAAGAGCCCCGAAAGGGAGCTGTATTCGAGGATAATTCACTATTTTGGGCGGTATAGATGATGCACCGGTCATACAGGCCCTTCTACGTTCTCTATGGGGCATGAGGTCCAATGGCTTTCAATCACTTCCCTCCTAGGAACTAAAACTTCGAGCGTGACTCTGATTACATGTGCTCCCCTTCGAGGGTACTTATGCTGATAACAGCTCGTTTCGCACCGTTACAGTCGTCTCCTTAGTAATCCCACCGCGTATCCCCTCCAGGATCTGGCGGGCACTGTCTCCATCTCCCCAGTCATCGTGGGCATCTCCACGGATGTATGTGTGGGCGCGCGTCGTGATGTGAGACCGAGTGTGGCCGGACTGTGCATAAGTGGGAGTGAGCTCGTACGTCGGTCTTGGGGAGCTACCGAGGTTTTCCACCATCGTGACGAAGAGCGGCCGCAGACATGGAACAGAAGAACAGATCACCACCAGACCTGCCTCAATGTAGGCCCAATGTACCAGATTGGCTTGCACAACTGTAGGGTATCCAATTTCACTCGTTGAACGAAGCTCGACCGCCTTGATTATACAGGCGATCATGGCACTATAGAAAAAGCGGCAAGGATGGTGTTAGAAAATCCAGACACGAGTATACTTGGAGTTATGTATGCCCTTACAAGAGACCCATACTGAGTAGGCACAGCAGCACAATCTTGATGCGCAGTCTGAGTTGCAAGCTCCAGAAGCTATAGATCGGGAAGGTCGCGAGGTATAGATCAGTTGCCGCGTTAAAAGCTAGGGCGGTCAGTAACGAGCGTGACAGCCATAGGAGCTAGGGAGAGGGAATACGGACCACCCTGAAAATAACCACAGTTTATCTGAATGCTTACAGGCATGCAATATACCTTGCATTGAAGGTACATCAGGAGGATCGGAACTATGTTAACGGGTGGTTGCAGTCCTAAAAGTAACCAAAAGACAGTCCGCGTTTTCGATTGTAATGGAACGAGACGGCGGAGGTACATGATGAATGCGATACGGCCAGTTGCGCAGGAGATAATGCATGCAGACGGTGCAGCCAGATACCATTGAATGCGTTGCACCTCCTGTTCTTGCGTGATGGTCGAGTTGCGAGCGAGGCTAACCTGGACTGCGACAGTGACGCAAGCCGCACTGGCAATGAGGAACACCTACACGTAGAAACATGATAGCAGGGTCAGCCCGTCATTCCGCCGATGAGAACAGGGCGAACGCACGAGCGCAATGATCATCACAACATCATCGACGTTGAAGTTGGCAATCTTGATCTTGGCGACTACCCGGAGTGCCATGACGACAATTGCAGCCGCAGTGAAGGCCCATGCTGTTGCCAGTACGCCAGTACCGGCATTTTTGTTGTCGTCTGCCGTTGTTGATACCATGGTGGAAGAGACTTGCGAACGTTTTGAAGGAGGCCGGAGCCAGCCTCTTAAGTGCCGTACGGGGCAACCAGGAACTGAGTTCAGAACGGAGGCATGATTTGATCTAAACCTTATTGGACTTTTCGAGGCCCGTCGCCCTTTTAGTCCCGTCGATGGGATCCAAAGCTTTAGCCCAACTCGTCCATGAGTGGAAGTCCCAAGTCCCATAGTGGGAGTCCTGTGGGGCTTGTCACACTATCTCCGCGTCTCTCCTATCAGGAGAGATTAAAGAATAGTATAGTATATCAGTATAGCGTGAAATACACGGTTATCAGCCATTGAAGGTTTTTTTTGTTTCCCTCTTTGGATCCCAAGAGATCCAAAACACTTAGCGTTCTACGGGTTCGATGAGTCCTGGGAAAATTCGAGATACTATTCCAGGAAACTGTGATACCACACCAGGTACTCTTTAACTATTCTGGAAGCAGAAAATTCATTAACATGATCCCTATCTGTCGAAAGCCGCTATCCAGTGGTACTATCAGCAAAGTGCAAGATGTGAGATATTATTAATTACCATTGAAGGTCCTGTCATGTTCTTTGGAACATTATAGTATGCGTATGTATATCCTCTATCCTATGGGGATCTCTCGGGATTCGGCGGATACCAGTTATTTGGATGGTTAAGGTTTTCGGGGTAACCCCAAATCCCAGCCAGCCATGTGGTAATACGTGTCGCGGAATCTAGCGTAATTCACTACCGAGCTGGACATCCCAAAATACCATTTATGGTAATATCTGGCCTCTTCAAGGACTTTAGAATATATATACGACTTCGTGACTTGAGATATAAATAATTCTGGCTTTTCCAAAACTGGATAGAGTATAGACAATCGTAACCAATTTAGATGATCGCAGGCCCAGCTCTTATCCCTAACGTAGCCAACTTCCTTATCTGACCGCTCTCGCACGCGCGGCAGCGGCCATCAAGGCTTTTTTGCCGGTCGGCAGTTCCGGGGCCGCCTGCATCCTGTTCTCCCCTCTTCTGTTTCTTCTGTCCCGTCGCCTCGTATTTTGAGAGATAGCTTTAATACTGTATACTCAATTTTCTCTCATTCCTTTGCTGCTCGCCACTTTCTGCAGTGCAGCCGCGAACGTCCCAGGGCAAACAGCCAGCGATGCTCCTACCGAAAACGACGGTCACGGCAAGGCCACCTACCGGCTAGCTCAGTGGTCAATTGATCGTGGCCAGTCCCCTAAGGACGGTCTGCAAATACCTGCAATCGCCCACCCCCGGGTTGTCCGCCAGCTTCGGCTGGTGCTGACGCCGCTTGCGTCGCGCTGCCCCAGCGCGTCAGGAAGATGCTCGCTATCTTTGGCTCCCTCATCGGGCGGGGCTTTATGATTTCGGTTGCCTACGGAAAAAAATCATGTAAAATGGCAAATCTGATTTCGAACTTGGTTGTACTCCTGCTGGCAAACTTGTGCAAACGCAGTGAAAGCTCGACACGGAGATTGTACCGTAAACGCAAGAGATCAATTTCACTTCTAATTCCTGTCCAAGCAAACGGCCGAATGCCCATTGATGTTTGGTGGTTGGACGTCTAGCCCGGGTCAGCGCAAGTCTCGCTTGACCTACTACTGTCACCTATTTTGTAGGAAATTGGTCTTGGATAAAGTAGTGAAATCGGTTGCTTTTACTGTTGAACCGCAATGATAACCGGTTTGACCGCGACTGACCGTCTCAACCGCGATCTGATCCGTTGCCCCACTTGAACCGTGCACTGACATGTTTATCCGACCAATTCTGCTCTTTTGAACGTTCGTAATATTTTGTATCGAACACCAACGCGACGGTCGGATCAAGGATATCCGTATCCACATGGAGCCCGATCCAGTAATTGATTTGAAGTGTATTTCCAGGAGCAACATGGCTGCCAGATCAGATTGTGTCATTATTTGGCGACGAAAGCCACAATTGAAGGCATGTCCAATCGAGAGTCTGCTATACGATTCCAGGAGCTTTGCGCTTTTAGGTTTATCAATAATAATCCACTAATACCTTCTAATGTGATAATATCTGTCAACTGTTCTCTACCTTTAAGTTGCATACTGATACGAGGCTGGCCCTCTCCTTTGGAACTTGGCTGTGGGAACTAGTCCGCAGACAACCCGCGAGATTGCTTCAACCTTTCCAAGTCTGACATTCAATGGATTTAGTATCATGAGAATAGGTGATATGGCAAGATCAGTTCGCTTGAGCATTCAAAGAGGGCCATAGCCGCGTAACAAGCCACATGTTCGTGGAGTCCACTCTGAGTACTACCCAGACCACCTAATCACAAATTATCCTTCCGTTGGTGCCAACACACACTGACATAGCGCTGGACAACAGCCTAGGGATTACAGAATCATCACAGGTTCAGGTCGAGCCGATAGGCAGACGGTCGGGTCGGAATATACGCCGCCGAGCTGATCGGAATCTTACGTGCCATTAACATTATCAACAAGCATGACCGAATTTTCATAGAAATAGCCGAAATCGAAACCTCATGTGATTAAGGGCTCAAGTCTGTCAGATACAAACAGAAGAAACCAAGATTGAAGCGTGAAATATGGATGCAATCAGGGAGCATATGTGCATCAACGTGTGCCCCGACACAGTGTAGTGCTTGGGTGAACGTTGACTCAGGACTTGAATAGACCCATGAGAGTAGAACCAACCTCCGATGCCGTTAACCAAAGCCATTAAGATATAAGAGGCTGTCAGTCGAGATATACCAGAAAAGCCAGCGTTGTAGAGCGAGACGCTGCATAAAGCCAAAGCTCCAAACCCCTCCAATCACCAGCACTCGTTCTCTCTTCTCTCTTGGCCAGGTTATCAAATAAGTGGCACCGACCACCCCGCCGAGTGTGACTCCCAGGAAAATGGAATTGTTGTTCCCCCTATCAGTAGCCTCTAAAAGCAAGACTGATACGGATGTCCCCCACATGTGAAGAATAATTCCGAGGTAGTCCAGCAGGAAGGAGGAAGAAGGGAGCTGCTTTCCCGAATCCAGCATGTAGTGACAAAAGGGAGAAGTCCCAAAACAAACGAGTTGGGCTAAGAGAGAAACCAAAGCTGTGGCCGTATTGCTTATGGATGAAGGGCACTGAGACATATGGTAAATAAAGCAGAGTAGGATGATACTGCCACATAAATGGAGTCTCGGGTCGACAGAGCCGTTGGTGTGGACGAGTGTGCTTCGGAGCTTCGAAAAGCGATAGCTGGTTTCCATGTTGACAAAATATATTGTCAATGAGCACTGCATCAAATATGCCGCTTTCCCTGATAAACGCGTTGATTCGTTCACGTGTCTTCTCACGCCCCGTATCCGAATAGGGCTGTTTATATTCAGAGGTATAGGGTGAGCCGAACGGAGTAATGGTAGCACCAAAAACAGGGACACCTAAAGCGTATCGAGCAGAGTCATCTGTCCAAGTCGGGTACAGTGCTCAATAGCCATCTGGACAGCGGGGAAGAGTAGATGAAGCTTCTACCGGGCCTGGGCACCCATGGTACGTCATAGAATAGCAAGCACCATAGTCAGCTATCCAATTAGCAAGCCTTCATTTTTCTCATTTGTGTCAATGACGTAGCAGAGCAGGGAAGACAAAGCAGGTGAAACAGAACATAGGAACTGATGAGATGGAGAGGTACATACCAGCGCCTCCAGCATCGCTATCCTCATGCATTATATGGGCCTCAAATGGCGTCACAGATGGAGAGCCGCAAGCCTTATTGGTAGCGATATCAAACTCCTGAGTCTACTTTAATCAGTATGGTTACACAGCTAGAAGTGACCAGAATAGTTGCTCATTACTCACAGTAATGACTCCTTGTTCAACGGTGAAATGTGGTCTCTCCCAGAGAAAGCAGACATTATGTGGCCCACAAGTGCCGGAATAGGAAATACTGGTTGTAACGCTAATAAGACGGGTTATCAGTACTCCCTAATTTCTGCATATTGGGGATTGGGTTAGTAATTTAACTCACGTGTCTGAATTGTGAGAAGTTGATAGTCCGAAGGTGCTTAGGAATTTTGTTAGTGCGCCCGTCCACCCTTTCCCCAACTGTTGCTAAAGTTAGGCATACGCAGTTTTAAAAGGAAGCAAGTACACAAAACTGACCCCGGGAATATTGTCACTGCCGCCAATGTTGACCCCTGACGCGGAAGTAACGGAGACGCTCTTTGTTATAGAGCCTGTGCCACACAAAGCGCCGCTTTCGTAATGATAGTCCCCATAGACGTTCGGGTTTGTCGACTGAATAACGGCTCTAGACGAGCTTCTCCTGCATTCTGGTATACAGAATGAACTGCTGCCAAACTCACACTCAACATCCGTGGTGTGAGGTAAAATTCTTTTGGCATAACGACTGGGTACAATAGTCATATTATGGTCCCCTGAGATTAAGGAATGCCTAGATTAGAATCGTAGTGAGTTCAAGGTCCATAAATGTAAGCGCGGTATGCGTTTACCTGTATTTCTCAACGTCTTCAAGTGTGTAAGATTGTTTCCCATGGCTATTAAAAAACTCTGGAGTCGACATCAGATACTTCCTAACCTGCTCTGTTGTGAGTGCAGGTATATCGAAGTCCTGGTATGTCAAGTTTTTGCCATCAACAACAGCATGCTTCTCAACCATAGGAACACCGTCATAGACAGTGCTGTCAGGTTTCCACTGTCCATAATCAAGGGATTTATAAGGAATAAAGACGGTTTCATTGCTTTCACTGAGAGTCTTGAGGAATAGGGACGGTGCGGTTTCGGCACTTTGCTGGTGTGCAGTGCTAGGATAGCCATGCGCGATGCGAACACCCAAATGCAGTAGTAGAATAAATAGACTTAGCATTATGGATGCAGTTTAGTTGAGCTAAAAGCAGAGAGTAGCCTGGTAAAAATGTTCGGTAGTATGGAGAAGCACTGTTCGAGGACGCTTCTATTTATACCTTCACAGGGACATGACCTGCTGTATTCATTCGTATCAGGCATTGGAAGATTTGTTTACTTCGGGAAATGAGCCTTATCTCTGACATGGCGCTACACAGGATGCAGATAAGTTGTCAGTTCCTGCAGATGGAAAGTCGCAACCTGTCAGGAACATGGAGATAGGCATTATATTAACTCGTCAGGTACAACTGTGACTAGCCGAGATCTGTGGTCATCCAATACCCTCTCTTTGGTTTACGCGTCCTTTTTGCGACCTTCTGTCACCTCGGACATGTAACCTTCGAGCGACCTTATGCTCGAGGGTATTTCAACCCCCTCGGCCTTCAGTAGATCGCCCACCAGAATCAACACTCTTTCCAGGTCTCGTCGTTGTTTTCCCCCTTTTGATTCCGTTGCTCTAATTGGCATCCAGCATATTTCCATAGCTATACAGGCCATTGCAATGTACAACCTCATATAACTTCCGCGCCGCTTACGAACAGGGTACAATTCCGTGGTAGCAAAATCCACGACGGAACGGATAACCGGCTCACTACAAAATTCACCAATTTTTCCGGACCCCCCTCGCCACCCAAACTCCTAATATAATGTTACCCAGACCTGTACCTTGACACTTTCGGTAAGCCGAACTGCCACCTTCCTATCGCTATTACCCCTCTTAAAAAATTCGACGGCTGCCTAGTAGAGTACCGGCTTTGGACCACTCGGATATTATTGTATCTTAATTTGCTTCGAATGCCAGCCTCACCAAAGGATATGAAATGTGCTCTGGGGATTATCCTCATTTGTTGAATGGCTGTCTGACATGAGTATGTCTTTATTTGCTTGAGCTTGAGCATCTCTGACCAAGTACCACATATTTTATTCATGTATATATATATTTTTTTCTTTATTTTACAGTGAATTATTTAATGAAGGATTTGAAGAGATGCGGGGTAGACTGACTATATTCGCTAGTGGAAGTGTCTTTCTCTAGTGCTGATAGAAGCTTCCGCTAGTAGAAGCGTCTTTCCCTAGTGCCGACAGAAGTGGCAGGAGCACGGCATTATTGACCATATTGCTTGAAGCAAATGACTGGACTAATTAGAGTTCTCGAATTTCCGAGCCGTGTGTGCAGGAAGATGGAAAAATAAGGTTTGACTCAAGCTGCCACCCAAACTTCTGTGGTTAGTTAAGACTTCTTAATCTAGCGATAAGCGAAAAACAAGTTCAAACTTCGGGATTCACCCCCTTATCCCCACTCCTTATTTTGTTTGCGAAGTGGAGCGGTGGTGGAGCGGTGGTGGTTTGGTAGTTTCTTAGAAAGCTTAACTATGAAGTTAACCAATTAATCAATATCTTTGAGCCGATTTAGCTTCCTCCACACAGGCGCCATGTAGGGGGTTTACTCTCTTGCTTAACCAGCAGAAGAAGCAGGGTTAATGCCACGTGCATGCGGGGCACCCGATGCAGCCCGAATAGGGCAGCAGCGCGAGTTTCGGAAATCGGGCCTCCGGTTTCTACCACCCGCATGCGTGCAAGAAGGGAAGGGATGCAAATGCAGCAATCAAAGCCAAACATGCCCAAAAAAGAGAACCTGCCTCTCTAGGGGCTTCTACTATCGAGTAGGTATTCCGCATCGCGAAGAATATTATCGCTGAAAATGCGCCCAGACGCCGTTAGGAGACACATTTCCCAGAATTACAGAGTCAGCTGATAGCCTTGTAGGAGGCAGCACTCACTAACTGATCTTCGCTTAGTTAATTATTGATGTGGGAAACGCGGCCCACTAGCGTAGGCGGATCTGCTTGAGATAATGAATGTTGCTACTGTTTCAGTATTGTCCAGTAGACTCCCAGCCTCTCACACTGTTTCTATCTTGTCTCGTGGCGCAGCTTAAAGCAGATTCTGGAGACTTAAATTCTTATAAAAGCCGCAACACACTACGGATAAAAAAGTGGAAGCACATTATATCCTCCTTCGAACATAAGTTAGTAGGCTTCTTGCCTTCATTCAGCTGTTATCGTTGTCCTCCAGAATGCGTACCATCTCCTATTTCCCACTAGGTGTCCGTCCGAAACGGGCCCTGTTAGCAGCCTTCGTCATGTTGAGGCTGACTATGCACTGTGACGCAGCGGTTCAATGCACAGTTATCAATTCTCCAAATTGCGGCTCACCATCGCCAAACACATAAACTACCAACCAATGTAGGCTCCACCTACTATGCCGACGGATTCCATGGTGGTACTATGTATGCCAAGTTACAATCGTCAACCGCAGTTAACGGGTAAGACGTCATCTATTATCCAAGTGACAATGAACCTTCCATTGCTAATATTGTCTATATATAGTAACTCTCGGTACCACGACTTGACGTATAACTTCAATCTTGGCCCTTACGACGGCACATACTGGGTTAGGTTGCCCACCGCAATTGGAGGGGGAACGGAATGTTGTGCAGTTTACAAGAACTGCGATGTGACAGTGGATTCCTGGGACATGACGGAGCCAGTGCCATCCTCATACCAGCTGACATGATTGATTTAGCCATAGGGAAAATTGGTTATAGAGAGTTACTATCTTCTCTTCCATGAAGCTATTCATAACCGGCACCGCTTCGCCCATGAAGCGGAGGTGAAAACGTGGCTGGCTGAATGCCGCACGAGCCTATTGTTATAACGCACCCTCTTTCTTACGTTTCATAAGAGATGCTTCCCCTCATGTTATTCTTGCATTAGTTGAGCTGTCCTCACCGAATCACGGTATATTGAACCTCGGTGTCCTCCTGGAGACTCAATGTTAAATAGAGTGTTCCGTGAAAGATTCGTGAGGAATCCTCAAGAAACAGTCTTACCACATTTGAACTTGTTACTTTCTTCCTTACCTCACTGACCGGCCTCCTACCCTGCAGTTAGATTTTATCTAACCTGAATACTTGCGTTTTACTGGAAACTATAGATTCGTTGACCGACCTCTACGCTTGGCATCAGTTGTGTTACGAGCAGGGTGGATGATGGCCACGCTGGACGAGCGCGGTAGGTCACTCAGCAACATCTTGCTCTCCTTGATCTTCAGGCGACTTCCGTGATGGACCCACCATTGAGTCACCAGGTGGTCATACTCCTCGTTAAGATTGATGGCGGAGATATTCTCGCCGGTACCACCATTGAACAGATCATCCTTCTCAGTGAGATAAACGATCTTCAATGGTTCCAAAGCGCCGGCTAGCTCACCAGCAGCCACATTGGCATTAACACTGAGCACCTGGCCATCGGGGGTCTCGGCCATGGAAGTCAGGATGGGTAGGCAGCCAGCTGCAATGGCCGACTCACTAGGCTTTTTCTTCACGCCATTGATCGTACTCACCAGGTTATACTTGAGCTTGTCCAGATAATCGGCCAAAAACACACCGGCGGTGATCGGCCGAGCATGGACACCCATACGCTCCGGCTCCTCGACCAACTTTATGTTCTCCTCCGGAACGAGCTTGCGCGCCAGCGACGGGGTCTTGCCATCCGTGACCCGGATCCCATTCTCAAATTGGGGCTCGGCACCGGCGGCTTGTATCGTGCGGTTGAGCTGCGGACCAGCACCGTGGACGACAATCGGGTAAAGACCGACATGGTTCAGGAAAGCGAGGGCCAAGGACAGGGTCTGGAGGTGCTCGGTGATAATCGCACCGCTGACCTTGATAACGGCGAACTGCTGGGGGAAACGGAGGAGAAGTGGGACAGGTACTGCTGGGCCTCGCCCTTGGAACCAATGTTGCTCCGCAGATGGACGACGGTGCTCCGAGTCGAGCTCAGGAGAGGGCCGGCGGCGCGCGAGTGTGGTCGGCCCTGGCGCAGGGAGTCGACACAGCGATCGGAGGGGCTTGGTGGAAGCTAGCGCGGAGTGAAGGGACAGCATCTTGATCACCAACACGCGGCAGCTTTAATTGATAATTAGCAGGTCGCTAGGGGAAACGTCCTCATTTTGTAGAACGGATTGAGAGGAGCAGAGAGAGGGTGTTAGGGAAAAGAGGAGGCGAAGGAGCCGCGCATACACTACTAACCATGGGGACTTCAATATTTTTTTCTGCATAGCTCCGCACCTCGTAATCTAGGCATATCAACTTCGAAAAGTTTGGCGGGGATGAATGCGGGAAGCCGCAGGAATGGATGGTGTATGCATCGCTGCTGATACATGGGCAGGAGGAGACTATGAACGAGAAACTCCGACAAGGGCTCACAGATTCGTGTCGAGTCAAGAGACTTTTGGACCTGACGGCGACGGGAGCCAATCTGAACCGGGTGGCTGGCAAATTAACGTGGAGGGGTTAGAGGTCACGACATCTAGGCCCCTCAGCAAGCTGCTGTAATTCGCCGTGGCAGGCAGCTGTTCTCTCACGCAGTGCTTCAGGTCAGGCAGAGACCAACCAGCGTTGACAATGCTGAGATACAGTAGGGTTGGGGTAATCAGTCCCCGGTCTAGGCTTGCCACCAATTTCCCATCGAGTGCAAAGATAGGATGTCCGAACACTAGGAGGCGGTCGTCGTTCGTGGCCGTTCCCGAAGTCCCGAAGGAAGCTGACTTGGCCCGAATAGAATGCGGGGGCTGGTTAGTGTTCAAATATGCCAAGCTTCGGATGGGATCCACGGAGATAGTGTGGAAACTCTGATGGACTAACCCACTATGGACGGTTGATACTAATTAGTATTAAAGGATCCGAAAGACTTCTAAAGGAAAGGTCTGCCTAGAGGCCTTGTCCATGTACTTTCTGGAGTACAATGTCCCTTCATGATTAACGTTAAGGCCTAGTACTTTCTCTTGCCCCGTGAAGAACTCGTCAAAGCATGGTCTCTACCTCTTTGTACCGTCTCTGGCTATATAGTGGGAGACCAGTCTGATAAAAGTGTTGAAATATCTGACTATGAAGGTTCTCTTGGCAAGAAGTTTTGTCATTGAAATGAGGTGTTTTAATTCTAACTCCCTGAAGAGGTACTTCTACAGCTATTTGTAGTAGTAAAAATACAATAAGCGAGAGTGCGATGGAGCTACAAGAGTTCCATGGTAGAAAGCATCCAATAAGCCCTATATGGTCGTTGCACATGAATTCAGAGATGTTGATGCCTCAGGCTTGCTGAGCCAATATCTCAACACTCTACGAGGTCCATTTGACGAGTTGCTCCTGTCATACCACATATATATTACAAAAACCCCCGCCCACAGGTCCATATACATTCATTAAGCTCCAACATTATCTGACCCACCACCAAAGGGCTGAACTGCACAGAAGCTCCAGTCAGCTCTATGGCCCAGAAAGATATGCTGCATGAGGGTATGTCGGATACTCCATCATTGATAACCCAGTTGCGATAAGCTAACCATGTTTGACAGGGGTAATGGAAAGCATAAGCTCATTATCCGGATTTTCGGCCGCGTATATACCCTTTCGCGCTCAGTACCAGATCTTGCAGGTCGTACAACGACAACTCGAAATTTATGCTTTCCGCTTTATCCAGGGATGGCATTTAGCAGAGTCACTCGCGGCCGGATGGACATGCCCAGAGGCCTCAGAGTTACAAAAAGTCTTCCGATTCTTGAAAGCTCAACGAGAGAAAGTCAAGGATGAATGTTATCAGTTAACTCTGAGAGCGTTGACCCGTTGGCGTGGCGTGGTCACTAGCATCCGCCACGCGGCTGTTCATCGCATTCCACAGGATCGAAAATCACCACTTGAGCTAATCCGCCTTGCCATCAAATTCTCGAAATGCACTGTTGGCTTGGAAGACTCCGAAAGTCTTTGTCGCCTTCAAGCGTTCGTGAAGACGGCGCTTTCAGAATTCCACCATCTGACTACCCAGCTAAAGCAAAAGGCCAGCCTACAAATCCCCTTGTGTAAAGCCAGCCCACATCATTTGGGCGGGCGCTTGATCTTGCTTCCAGAAGCTGTAAAGCGAGTCCTTCAGTGCAGTGAAGATGACTTGATCTGCAAAGTTGAACAGTTTTTAAGCGCCGAGTTCAAAAGTTCGTAGGAGTCTTCGGTTTATTCCTACAACAACAATGGCATTTGGAACTGCACTGTCTCTCTGCTGTGGCTAATGTGGGAAAACACTAAGTGAATTCTCGCGATGACTTTGAAGATTCTGGTGTCTTATTGTTAACTTTCACTTGGTATAGATCTCAGAACACTCGGTCAGTCTTTTTCCTGATCTCAACTAAAATTTCTGCCCTGGATTATCTGTCCTGATAGATGTCAAAGGCACACAAAATGTCTCAATGGTCAAAGCCATTGGAGCGACGACTGCCTAGCAGAAGAGTCCTTCCACTGCTGCTTCCACTCCTGCTCTGCGCTGGTTTCCTCGGCTCGGGATCTGTCAAGACCCACCCTCAATGAAATTATAGCTCGAATCAAGCGCGGGTCCCTGGAGGGGTGGTTTGCAGAGTTGAAATGATACTGCAGAGCCAAAGTTTGGGTTGCGTCCATTGTGGTGCTGACGAGTTTGTGGAAGCTCTCAAAACACTTACAATAGAAGTCGTTTTCAAGCCCCTGTTGAGTATGTTGCTGCAATCGTTCAGCCTTCAATTCTGCAATTGACATCTCGGGCTGAGTTTTGGATTTCCTCAGTCGCGGCCGTGTGGTTTCCAAGGCCATGGTAGATCCACGAGCCATAGAGATTTGGTGGTCTAGCAGATTTATCTCAGGGAGAGATGGCTTGATTTGTAGGGTAGTTGGTATGGAAGTCATAGGTATTGCATCTTTGGCCGTGTCGGAGGATCGACTATAGATACTGGAAGTGTTATCGCCAGAGTGACCGGGAACTTGTTTTCGAAATGGGTTCATGTTGGTTGCAGACGGACTACGTCTCGTATTTTTCTACTTTCCGAAACTGAGGTTGGGATGGGATGGTCGCTTTATAGAAACGGAAAACTCATTGCATGGGCGAAACTAGTGGATTGGTGTTCTTGAACATTTTTCGAACTGCTTTCTTTCCTCACATACTCACCACTAGACCTCGGCAGAGTCCACGCATGGACTGTCCAAAGCCGCCCAAACCTGCCCACTGGGCGGGTTTGGACAGTCCACTAATATCCATGGGCGGACAGGATAGGGGGTGTCCGCCCACTGTCCAAACCTGCCCGCCCAAACCCGCCCACGCGGGGTATTCGTAACATGCATATAGTTATGCAGTAGCTTAGAGTATCTTAAGGTATTAGGGATACAAGGAATCTCAACTGCATCGAGTGGAAATAGCATCAATTCAATTTTAATAGGTTTCAAACTCCTTAAGCCTCTTAGAAGGTCTACATATCCTCCCTGATGAGCGCTTTCGGCCAATCCCTTCTGGCAATGGAAGAACTAGACCATCATCACTTTCCTCATCAGCGTCGCCTTCCTTGCTAGCTACGCTGGTTTCATCGCTATCACCAGCCTGATTTCCCAAGAAGAGTGCTTGCTGGCTATGAACCTCGGTAGTCAACCGACCTAAACTCGGATTAGACACAGTATCCTGTTCCTCGGTGTCACTAATCCCATCTATATAATCATCTCCACCATCAGCGTCTACCTCTTCATCCTCGGCCTCCTTCTCATTTCTGAATCTATCCTGCTTCACAGTCTCTAAATAACGACCAGTAAGTTCAAACCTAGCCGAGCACAGATACATCATTAGATCCTGAATGCTGGTTGGCTTCAGTGATCCTCGACGATAGTGACAGATATCCCGTGCAGAGTTAAAGAGACGCTCTACACCTGCACCTGTCGCTGGGATAGAAAGAACATCGCGTGCTGCGCTTGCGAGGGCTGGTAGCGACGACTCTTGCTTTCTCCAGAACTCGAGCGGGTCTTCTTTGACTGTACCTAAGGTGTTCTTAAATTAGCCTGCTTCTACTTATTAAAGTAGGATTAACTCACCACTGTCAAGATATCTTTGAATCTCGTCTCCCTGGCTCTCCTTACTCTCCCGGTCTAGCATTGCCGAAAGCCTTGAGCCTGTTACAGGCATCGTAGAGTGAGTTGGGGAACCAGGACGCTTTGACAATCGTACTTAGTAGGGCCGGATATAGTCATAGAAACTATCTCGGTATGTCGCACGCCATTCATACTCATTCTCAGACCATTCATCACCAGAGAAGTAGTTGAGCTTATGCGATGGGGCAAGGATTGTACCAATTGCATAGAGATGACCATGGGCATTTGTTGTCTTTCCATAGTAGACTGCTAGCTTCCGCTTTCCTGCTTCTAGGGCTTGTCGCATCGCTTGCTTCCAGCTCACCTTTTTCCGTCGGAGCTGGTTGAGTGATTTCTCAAAGTGTTCAAATAGTGCATTGTAGATCTGGAAGACATTGTGGATAGTGACGTCTTTGGTTTGGCAAAGAACGGTGGTAAAGTTATAGAAGGGTCGGGTAATGCAGAGAAGGTAATCGATCTGACGCCACTCCTCTCGATCTAAGAAAAACTGATTGTATCCACTCTCAGTGCAGAAGGTCTGATAAGTAGACCGAATACGCTTTGCGCGGCGAAGCAATAGGAATGTTGAGTTCCAGCGAGTCTTTACATCTTGGATCGGAACTAAGGTTGTATCCCCTGATTGAAGCTTCAAAAAAGATTCACGGAGCTGGGGACTAGCGTTGACAAAGACTGCAAATGCCCTAACCTTATAGATATATTAGTAATTTGAGTATGGATCAGACCAAATCAACGTACCTTATTAAATGTTGAAAGAATATCTTTCTTCCCACTGGTTAGCCCAGGTCGGAATTCTCTCTCTGTATACTCATTGCTTGGCTCAAGCTTCATATGAGTTAGAAGATCTCTGAGGCTTAGTTGAATGACATGTGCAATACATGGAACTCTGACTATTGGTGCACTAATAGCCTCGGCCAGAGTTTCGATCTCATCATTTAGACTGTCTACCAAGGTTTGGTTGTTCGAGGCATTATCGGATGTAATTGCCAAGATCCGATGAGTGATATCGTAGTCTTTAAGACGGGTAAGAAGAACCGAGCTGAGATTCTCACCAGAATGAGTGCCTTCTAGGGGCTCGAATCCAAGTAGAAACTCTCTATAATTCCAATTGATATCGATAAAATAACCAGTGATTGCCATAAAAGCCTGCGAGAATGGTGATGTCCAGCAATCAAGCGCGATCGAAAGCTTGGCTCTCTCGGGTAGTGAATTAAGGATCGATTGTTGTTTCCCTTGCCCGATCTGGTGTATTTGTCGATGAACTGTTCTAGCGGATGGGAATTGAAGAGGCCTTGGTGATGCTTGGGCTCGCTGGAGAAGCTTCTGGAAAAGAGGGTTTTCAACAATAACATATGGAAGACGAAGACCAGCAACAAAGTCTGTTAGATCCTCCATAAAAGCCTTCTCATTGAATTCTATCGACAAGGACCGCTGGGACGGAGGGTAGAGTTGTCCCTAGTAATATCACATGTTAGTAGCTGAATAGAATTGATACCATCTCCAGTCGAACTTACTTGTAGCTCAAAAAGCTCTTTCAGATTACTAGTCTTACTAGCATGGCTAGCTAGTTTCTGGCATTTAGCCCCTTTTAAATGTCTTGTCATTGGTGTTGTCCCATTTCCTTTCCGACTCGGATGGTCAAGGAGCTGGCCACACTCCTTGCACAAAATGCGTGGATCCCCAGTCCGGGTATGTGCGACTTGATGGAAAGATCTCCACCCATCTGAATGGCGTTTCTTCACATCAAAAAACTGGTGACTCTTCTCATAGAGGTCACTTCGAATCGATGTTGTAAGCCACCACTCAACAAACTCGTCTTTGTTCATTTCTGTATAGAGAACCCAGTCTTTAATGATCTCTGGACAGGAGTGTGGCCGAGTCGATATCTGGTCACTGCCTAAAGAACGTGATGTAGGCGCTGTTTGTTGACTGATCAAGATATCTGGTGCTAGGAGAGGGTCAATATTATCTCCATAGAAAGATGAGGAATAATCCTGAGTTTGTTGTGACATTTTCCCGGGTAGATAAGAGAAGAGCTAAGGTTCATAAAGTAGAATCAAGAGTATAGAAACAACTTACAAGTCAATAGTAGGTAGCTAAACAGAGACTAGGAAGTCGCGACCAGGGGTCTGCTTACGCGTAGGATAGCGGTATAGATTAGTATAGATTTTAGGTGATATATCATAAATAGGCAGATCCGACTAGAAAACTCTAAGATCCGATTGGCTACACTATGCATGCTTCTAGGTGGGCGGTTTTGGACTGTCCAAACCCGCCCATCGATCCTTGAAACTTGCTCAAGACCAACGCCCCAGGACTTCAGTAAGTTCCTTTACCCAAAAAATTTCACCCTTCGGACCCCCTTATTTGAGCTTAAGGCATCAACCTTAAAAAGCCATCAGAACATAGTGATTCAAGATGAACAGGATTTCTCCTAATTTTATTATGACACAATACATTCTTAATATTTTTGTAGTTAAAATGAGGATATAATCCATGAATCTCTATGAAGCTTAAGGCGTAATTAGCTATATTTTTATATTTATACCAAAAGTGCTTACTTAGAGAAATCCTGGTGTAGACCTTGAGGTAAAATATATATTTTCGAGTTCAATATTACTTGACCAAGATAACGTTTAAGAAAACATAAGCCTGCAATAATAATATTGATCTTATTAATCAATCAGACGGTAACGGTGTAAAGGATTAAAGATACAAAGAAATTTCAAAGAATTTCCTTGAGGAAGATGATAATATCAGAATCTGGTTATGTGACGAACTAGAACGATAGTAAATAACAGTCTTTCATTTTACGGAGTGATTAGATTTATGGAGGATTTTATGCACGAATGGGCAGGTTTGGACAGGTTTGGGACTTAGCGTGTGCGGGCTGGGCTGGACTGGACTTAGCGCAGTTGGACTTTGGACACTAGAGGGGCGTCCATGGACGGACTCTGCCGAGGCCTATCCGGGGGATATATATTCAACCACAACGCATTTTCCACATTTGTTGGAGAGCTCGGAAATCCAAACGTAAATAAAGTAAAATCTAAAGGACTGAAAAAGAAAATTGTAAAAACCAGGTATCCATCTCAACCATGATCACAAGTTCAAAACTTTGACTCAAGTCAACAACGTAAGGCCAAGCTTCAACGGGTTGACAGGTCACCCCCACCCGCGCGACTGCGGGCTGACGCTTCCCGCAGCCTAGACGGACAGAACCACACACAGCTCAGACAATCAACACTCGAGCGAGGCCAGAAAATTTTTCATCTTCCTTAGATGAAAATGTGAGCGCTCTTGGTAAAATCAAAGAATGCACAGCTTCCATTGCCTCAGTAGGAAGACCGTAGATTCAACAGTGAGCCAACGTTTCTTAACCGACTCACTTTGACTCATTCTCTACTTGACTCTAGCATGTTTTCTCGGTGAGCATCTAAAATCACACCGAGAAATTCGCTGCAAATAGTTGCGGTAGAACGAAGATATGAATTGCAACCGGCCTCACTTAGGATAGCGTCGTGTCCTTGAACATTTGCTCCATAATAGAGTACATACGCGACAGGAGCCGAGAAGCCTATAAATTCGCCTTCTCCCCCCAGCAATTTGTTCTACAACACATGTCACTTGCTCCGCAAAGTCGAGCAGGCCTTCGGTTCGAGGTACCTGATAAGTTCTTCCCTTTGACCTACTGGATTTCCACTGTACTGACATCTATACTGTAATTACGTTGTGGACTGACAACCTAGAAACTGCTTGTGAGAATAAGATTCCCACCAGGACCACTATGCCACCCATGCCAGCCGATCAAAGAAGCAGTTTTGTGTTAGATCCTCGATGTATCTATGCGAACATCTGTCCACCAAAGCAGCCGACCACTGTTCTCTGAATATCGATGCAAAAGAGCGATTCCCATACTGTACCGGTATGTAGATTTCAGCGCGACCCTTTCCCAAACTGGACTGACTTCGAAGACGATGCGAAAGAAAGATCCATGCGTTCCGTGCAATATACCCCAGCCAGGGAGCCCTTTCCTGTATCTTTCTTAAAACATGTAAGTCATGCATTGTCTCGCCGACCAACAAGCTAATGATGGACAAGAAACCGTGGACAGCGCACCAAATTGACGAACCAGCACTCCGTCAGTGCTCCGTCAGTGCTCCGCGGGTTATGGCTTACACGCCATTTCTTTTCTGGCCCTGTCAGTTCAAACCATGCGATATTTTCTACTAAAAATACCGCAAACCAAGATCGCGGGACAACAGGACGCATAAGCCCCAGACGTTCGTTGTGCATGATGAGGTGAGTGGAATATCGCGCCTCCTGTTGCGCCGGTTTTGATTTTGTGCCAAGTCTGTGCCCCAAACACGAACCCCACTGACATCTTCATGCTGTTGTAGGAGCAACCCATCGCCTACTGTTCAAACTCTTGTGGCGAGTAACCTATTCCCGCCGAGTCAGATAAAACCAAGTGAGCCGACGTGCGCCATCGCGTTTTCCACCCTCCTCACCGCCTTCACACCCTCAACAACGGAGTGCCTCTACACGAAGCAGTCTCCCAATACCACTGTACAATTCCTTGTCACAGGTGGGTTCGTCGCGCGCCTTTGCCGTCTTGTGGACTTGCCCGGTGCATTCAGCGCAAATTCTCGAAGCGACAGCCGGAGAGTGCGACGAACCTGGATAAAACATGGCATGATTGGTGACTGCAATGCAGAAGAAGATTGGCCGTGATCTAGTTGGTAAGCTGGTATGATCACTATCCTTGTTTATCATCTGCTTCAAGGGTACACTTCTGGGATGCACCAAAAACAACGTAAAGTACAATACCTCCAGCTGGATCAACACTTGCTGACTTGGATCTCACCACAAGAAGACACCCTCAGTTTCTCACACTCGAATGCGAAGCGAGCAAATGTCTTGTCTGCTCAACCTCCCCCTGCACCAACACCATCGCCTGCTCTGTTTCTTCCTCATGACTACCGGTGGCATCGACGAGTCTCTACCTCGACCTTCTCCCAGTCGATTTGGTTCATAAGATCACGCGTTGGTATGCCTACCTGATGCAAGACCCAACAGGAAATTCGTTGATGGGGACATATTGGAAGTGCGCTTTTCGGCCAAAGCCAAGCATCATGGCGATCTGCCACGCGTATCCCTCCGTGAGCGCTAATGCCATGTCCAATTCCAGTCAGGCTCATCGCCTACATATCCTACCCAGTCGTCGACCACGCATATCTGCTTGGACGCTGTAGAGGACACGTAGGACGAACTCGCTGTTCTGCTCCTTTGTCGTGCACTCGGGGGTGGCGCAGCCTCACGGAGCTGGCGTAGGGTATGAGCTGGTGCCCGAGGAGGATAACACTACGCTAACCGGTCCAGGGGTAGTTTTCGTGGAGGACGATGACTGGGACTTTAGAGCTCATAGCAGTGTCTGTCTCTCGGCATTTGAACACCCACATGGGATGGCCTACTTGCGGCTTGGATCCCTGGCGTCCACTGGGTGACCATCGTTGTCCTCAGATGGCGTCTAGCGACTTTCGAGCCTGAAAATCTGAAGAAACCGACAGGAGCCGATGATTCGTCTTGCTAGACCTGTATTTTCGTACACGGCGAGGTTGTTCGTCGAGTCTGCTTGCAAAGAGAATGTGAGGTGAAAGCCCCGTCATCTCTAGCCGAATCAACTAACAATAGCCATGCCAGCTTCGAATCGATGGACGAAACCGGGGACGGCCAAACGAAAGAGAGGACCCATGACCCAAGAACCACGTCTGATAGAGCCCCCCTGATTCCTCTTCCTCTCCGCGTTGCTCAGCTTTTGGACATGTACGAGCGAGCGGGAACCACTCGGACATACACGGAGCTGCATGCTATCAGAATTGTTTGTCTCGTCCCTGTTAGACAGAAGCTTCCTAAGCCTGTGTTTTTCTATCCAAGCCCGAGCACTACGTGCAAAGCCCATACACCTTGAATGTCACAGCAGCTGGAGGTCAGTCAAGTTATCCAGTATCCTTCGACCATTGAGACCGTCGTCTAACATATCGCAATTGGAGGCGCAAGCAGGTCTTGCCAGCAAATCACCGATTCCTCTACGTCTCTGAGCTCACTGTTCTTTGACCATCTATGATGTATTTCTCCGCGCCCAGGACGATATCTGGCATATCACTGTTGAGCAATTCACCGTGAAGGTGGGGTTGATGTCTGTAACAGCACCACGAGAGCCCTCGGGTTGTAGGACCTCTGAATGTCCCGTACAGCCTATACGAATTATCTACCCCAATAAGCGCTCATGTTACATTTGCTTGGGGAGGATTTGAGCGGATGCCTGCTAGGGTCACAGGCGGATGAGAACACTCCTGTACAAATCACCAGGTCCCGAGCGCTGATTGGGGAGAGTGTCTTACCAGTTCTGATTTCAGATGGCTCGTTGGGCCCCGATCAGAAATCAATCATGCTGTATCAGCAGCGGAGCATGATTTATCGCATGTAGTGGGGAATAAGCCTCACAGAAGGTAACGACCGTTTCTTCATCGCTGTAGTGGACTTCTACGAGAGATTGGTTGGATTTACTGGCGGGATATTATTCACAACGTTGCGACGGCTCCTACATGTAGAAGGAGCGGGTCAGATATTCGCGAGCCAAAGCTACCAATGATATGTTAACCTCGAGACAAAGAAACTCTCACTCTCGCAATTGCTCTATGTTGTAGGCATTCTGGTGTACCATAGGTTCTAGTGACTAGCAATAGTCATCTCAAGCAATTTCTTTGGCGACGCAAGAAACAGAGCGTATCGCATAATCATCTTGGATTGAACCCGTGATTCGGATTTACGAAATACATCACATGGCTCTACACTTCCTAGTTCTGAGCTTGAGTGTACAGTATGTTGCGTGATAGAGTTGCACAATTCTTGAATTAGATCATCTCAATTGAGTTGGAAGCCGAAGTCAAGGTGTGACCAACAGGGATCAAAATTGCTTTGCAGGATTAAAAAAAAAAAAGGCAATTGA